TTAACAAATAGGGTACTGTAAAAGTGGATCATCACTTTGAGATTATGTTCCCAGTCTGGTTGGGATATAGCAGGCTGAACCACCTGATTTTGTAAAAAGCCAGATGCTTCCGTTCCATGCTTCGGAGGGCACGTTAAGCTGTCGGTCCCGGTTGCTTTCTACGATCTCTTAGACGGTGGTCGTTACATAATCATTTCAGAGGCCTGCTACTACTGCTACAGTAGGCGGTTGAAAATCTCTGACACCAGGGTTCATCGGGTCGTTGGACGACTTGGTGTCCTACTTGAAGGAGAAGAAGAAGTTGATTATCTTGTGTAAGACGGGAGGCCATTTACTCGTCTATGGAACTATGGGACGCAAATCATTTACCCTGTGGCTACTCCCTAACAAATAAGTAGCCCGTTTGATCGTGGATCAAATGATTTATTAACACTGCGTTAAATGGTTGATATTTATAGGAAAACATAAAAATTACAAGAAGAAAAATCAATCACTTGTTTGAAGAGATGTCAACAAGAACTAGTTGTCCATGGCAACCAGGGTGACCGCCACCCCCAGGGAATCTATCAAACATTTTTTGTATGGGAGGCCCAATTTTTAGGGTTTTGTAGTGTACTAGAAAAGTCAAGTCTGTTTGAAAAAATAAAATAAACAACTATGGAACATAGTTTACTATATGAAGTTACCATGAAAACTATAACGGACACTGCACCACTAAAGATTTAAGACAAAATAATAGATTTTCTATTTGCGGTTGGTAACCTGCAAACAAACCAGCAACAAAAAAAAATACAAATTTGTGGGTGTGTCAGACACGCTCTTGGCTTTTTTTTATTTATCTTGATCTACGCTAATCAGTTTCACAAATGGAACTCACTTTAAAATATTTGCAATGGATTTAAAATGACCTTTTCAAAGCAGTCAAAACAAAAAAAGAGCGAAGCGCTGACAACCCGGTACTATTTCTACGTATGGTTGACATCCGGTGAAAAACAATAAAAAAATCTCATTGACGACACTATTTTTATATTTATATCGATATCTGAATATCGATCTTAGATAATAAAGTTATGATGTTATGATCTTCGCGCAGTTTAGATCAAGATAAGTACAATTTAATAAATAAAACTAACTAGGCAAGTTGGTACAGGAAAACGCATTCAAAGTGTTGATACAAATATTTTTCTAGTTTATAGTTGTGTCCTCAAGCGATACGCTGCGGCTACGTTGATAAGCGGAGCGGGGAGCGGGAATAGCAGGAACTAAACTAGATTATAATAGGTACTTATGTAAATATACCTATATTGTAAGATTTCAACCATAGACAAATGAAACCTTTTTTGCGCTGCGCTAATGACATTTTGGCGCTCTGTGATTTCAACCAATAAATTGGTCGAAGAAGTAGACTTAATCTACGTAGACTAATAGAATAATTCTGGACGTTAAATAAATTGTAGGCGTCTAAACAAAACGGAGGGTTTATACAGAAGGTTCACTCGGCCCTATTTCGGATTTTCGCGGTTGGCACTTGTTACATAGCCAGGGCTGCTACTGTAGTTTTGAGAGTATTCCTACTGTCAAAAATCTCAAAGTATAAACATATCAAAACAGCAAAATGTGATAAAGAACGTCATATGATTCTGAGCCAATAAATATGACGTTCGTGTCAACCACCTTCTTAGTTACCTTGACTTCGCCTGAGATTCCGGTTGTTTTCAGTTAAAGTCAGTAAGCGGCAAAATCGTCGCTAGTACTGAGTGAGCCATCTGGTTAGGCGCCTCGCGCGACGTTTCCCTAATTTGTGGTATCCAGAGTTATTTTTATGCATAAAATTGACAAAGTATGTTGTAAATATAATTTGTCAATTTTATGACTACCGTGTGCTTGTGTGGTACCTATATCTATCATCCGCCCTCGTAGGCTGGTTCACCCCTTAAAATATGTGAATGTTAATAAAATAAATTACATCCTGTATAGATGCCAAATATCTCTCACGTGCCGTTGATCCATTATCAACGGAACACCTCGTATAGTGCGTGCGAGTATACGGGGTGAAATTTTACTAGTGACCGATAGCGAAAACTCAGAACCTGCTGGTGATAAGGAACAACTTTCCCCAAAGAACATAGGTCGAAACACGAAAAAAAAATTTGGACTTGCCATGAAAATTGTCGATCAGCTGATTTGATTTACTATGGGAGGTAAAAAATTGTTTTTGTTTTTAGACCTATATTCCTTGGGGACAGTTGTTCCTTATCACCAGCCGGTTCTGAGTTTTCGCTGTCGGTCACCAGTAAAATTTCACCCCATATTTAGATTCCCGCTACCCGCTCCGCTTGTGAACATATCCACGCCGTAAACTCAGTCCATCCGCCCCCTTATATAAAGGCAGTAGACTTGTCACCCTGGACAGTGCTCGGTCGCCCCTCTAGCACGAAGTTTATCAATTTCAGTCTAGTAGAGTTTAAACACGTGGAGCGCTGAAGCTGTAGTTGAAAGAGTAAGTAATAAATCAAAATTAATTTGCATTCCTAATTAAAATATTTACTTCATTTAAAAAAATCACATAATTTACATAATACCTATTGTTCCTCATTGCAAAATTAAAATGATCCTTCATAATTTAGCTAGGTATATATACAGGGTGTAAAGGACAGCTCCCCGAATGCTGATAGGGTGCATTCAGAACATGAAACTGAACAAGTTTCCATGACAAACATTCCAGTAGTGGTAAAATTTTTTTGTTCTTCCAAATAGTAAATGCAACCAGCTGATCGTGATGTACGAAAGGTAAAAAAAATTGGAGTCTCCTGAAATATTTCCTTATGGGAAGTTGTTCAGTTACATGGTCTATGTGAACCTATCAGGATTTGGAGAGCTGTCCCATACACCCTGTAGGTACGTAGGTTAGGCAGTAATGTGTAAGGAAAAGCAGAATCTTTAACTGTTATCTATGATTATGATATGACATAACATGACATGAATATGACACACTTTGCATACATACCACGGATATTACTTAGCCACAAATAAGGGAAACGGCGCACGGGGCGCCAGCATAGATGGCTCACTCAGTACTAGCGACGATTTCGACGTTTACTGAATCTAACTGGAAATAACCGGAATCTCAGGGGAAGTCAAGGTAACTTAGTTAGAAGATGGTTGACATGGACGTCATATTTCATGGAGTTAAAATTGGCTCAGAATAATATGACTTTCTTTGTCAGATTTTAATATTTTGATATTCTTTTACTTTATAATTGACAGTAGCAGCCCTGGCTATGTAAAAAGTGCCAATCCCAAAAATCATGAATAGGGTCGAGTGAACCTTCTGTTAACTCTCTATTTTGTGGCAGTATCTTTGACTAACAGTCAAACCATGATTAATTGATTATGTATGACATAATATGACATGAATATGACATTTCCCCCATACTAGCACTTACCTATTCAGTCATCATGTATTTTATTTTATTACAATTTGTAGGTAAATATGGTCATTTGGGAAAATAGACATCCAAAAGCAGAGCCACCTTTACAGCTAACATGAAATTTTCAGCAAAGACAGACAGTTTGAAAAGATTAAACTATTTAGAATACGGGATGGTTCCAAATCTGAACGACTGACTTGCCCGGAAACGCTATAAACTCAACCCTTTACTGGACAACTATCTCAAGGAACATAATAAACGGCCATGAGCATGTCAGACCCGCCCACAAATAGGGTTTCGTAGTCACTCCAACAACGTTTAAATATCAGGTTTTCAGCGTAACAAAGTTAATTTTGTTGCTGATTAGTTTGCAGCTATATTATGGTAACCAACCGCAAATTGTTTTTTTTTTATTTATTTGAAATCTTTAGTGATACAGTATCCGTTATAGTTTTCATGGTAACTTCAGACTATAATCTATATTCCATACTTTGATCAAATTTCAAGCGTTGCTTTAGGAGTTACAGCTGGAACAAATTATGGGTCAAAAACGCCCCTTTTAAAAGCAAATATTATCTCGAGACAGAAACATTTTATTGACTATATTTTAAGAAAACCTCTCCTCAGTTTTAGAAGACCTATTCAACGATACCCTACTCAATATTAACGGAGAAAAAAAAACACTACAATGTGAGGGGATCCAAAAAGCATTTGATATATTTTTTCTTAATTCTACTTACCTATATTTGGGTTAACACTATCAACCTATCATCTCAATAAATTTCATGTTGATAGCTCCAAAACTGACAAAGAAATGAGGGCGCGGCATACAGACAGACAGACAGACTTGACGAATTCTTTTCCGATATTTGACGAATATTTTTCAAGCCGCCAGCCACCGAACGTCATCTTGGTGCATACAATTAGAAATCCGACATTACATGATATGTTCGAAATTCAAATAACTTTGCCTCATCATAATATCAGCAAAAGTGACTTTTCCACACTGATTTTACGAGGCAAACGTTCCTTTCTCTCTGGAGATAAGTGAAAAATAGTTTTATTGTTTTACTTATCTGCCTACTAGTAGTAAGTAATAGTAAGTTGTAAATACAAAAGGTACCTCATTTAATATAATGTCCGTATCTTATTAATACCCGTTCAATTCGTTTAAGTAAACAATAGCCTCGAGAGCAAAGGTAATAGAGAAATTGATAGCAAATACCAATGTTGGCACACTTTGACAGATTGTGATGAATGTAATGTTTAGTGTGGGCACAAAATAGAGAGTTTACAGAAGGACAGCTCGCCCCCTTTTCCGACCATTTATGCTTACACTCTAGGGTTGCTACTTTCTTTTTCTGATTTTTCAATTTGCCATACATACTTAGGTACATTACTTACATTATATCAATCATACGCAATAACACACTATACAAATATATTGGCACTTGCGAGTCGTAATTAATTTAGTCAATGGGAATTAGTTGCAAAACTATCCCGGTAGATGGAGCCCTGCCACGCGCTAGTGGACAAGATATATTTGCTTAATTAGCAGGCTAGCAGTGAGCCGCGGTAGCCTAGTTGGTAGTGGCGTCGGCAGTACAGATACCAAAAGTCGCAGGTTGAAATCCTGCCTGCTGCGGTGACAGTTTTCCAAAATTATTGTGACTCAAGTGTCATACTAATGTTGCTTTTTTGCGTTGCATAGGGAGGGATGCACGATAAAGATGGAAGATGTGAATTTTCCGCCGTATTCATAATTCCCATATAAATGCGTCGACGAATGCGTCTGTCTTTCCTTTTGACACTCGCATCCGTCAACTCAGCATTTTCGATGTGCATTATTACGATACTGTCACAAATTAGGGAAACGGCAGGCGGATTGGCGAGCGCAGTTTAAGATGTTGCATTTAAGAGAACTCTGCTGCCCGTTCCCTGGATGATGCCTTCGCTTTTTACGGTACCCATGGGTAGAATTGGGGTCCTCAAATATTTGTCATAAATAATAGGTAGCGATAGCGCCAGTATCTTTCTACTTCCTGCCTACCCCGCAAGCGTGATGTATGTGTAAAACTCGTTCACGCACGCATTACGAAGTATGACATTACAGTGCGAGCACCACTAGGGTTTCGCGTCTGGTACACCGGGGATTAACGAATTATGGTATTACCGACGGCTAAGTCCAAATCCTTTATTAAAATCGATATAAACCTACATATCGATAGTCGATAGTGTCGCAAAATAGAGAGTTTACAGAGGGATCACTCGACCCTATTCAGGATCTTAAATTGAAATGAGAAAATTGAAAAATTCACTAGCGACCGCCGCCGAGACTTGAACCCGGGGCCATGAGGTACCGTCCCACCGCTCTGCCTATTTAGGATTTTCGCGATTGCCACTTGTTACATAGCCAGGGTTACAACGATTCAATACGAGAATAATGTAGGACAAATCTGACACAGAACGTGATATGATTCTGATCTGAGCCGATTTAAATGCAAGAAATATGACGTTACCTAATATTACTTCTCACACATTTGACGTAGGTATCTATGGAACAACTGCTTACGTTTGAAACTATTGAACCGGTGTCGATGGTAAGGTGTTACTGTTCAGAACATTTAAAAACTTTTTGCTAGTGCACTTGGCACATAGCAAAATTTAAAAATGTAAGGCATTCAAATGTTGGTCGTCTTTTCTTTGGTCTTTTCAATCTTCCTTTTCGTCCGTGTGTCTTTTCTTGTTTTAAATTATGTTATTTTTGTTGTGAAATAAGTCAATATAGTGTATAGTGATTCCTAAAGACAATTTTTCACTTATGTCTACACACGCACCCAATTCAGGATACCAGCCCCATATAAGTTCAGTCCATTCAATATCAAATATTCATAAATCAAACAGTTACTACAACTTATAAAGGTTACATTCAATACTCAAATGCATCAAACAGTTACTACAAATAAAGATTATTTTTAGGGATTTACTTTTCACTGTAAAGTAATAAAGCTGAATATTTGCTAATTTATGAAATTTTGTTTCAGTAATTAGGCGCATCAGACCTGAACATGGATCACGCAGAGTTTCGCGTCAAGGGTAAGTGAAAATCAACATCTTTTTTACATACTACAGACAACGTAAGATGTGTTTATTGTGAAATTAAAATCTGAGGTAACTAGTTCTAATAAATACCTACGCACCTAAACTTAAAAACTAACTAATCCTAATCAAAAAGTCCACCCCGAAGCGTACCTGGTTCGAAGGTGCCCATCACGCCCGCGGCGTTACCGCGTTGGATGGCGAGCGAGATGTGCTGTACCAGGTACGCTCCGGAGCGGGGATCACACCCGCGCTCCCGCAGGCGTCGGCCTAGCTCCCGGATGAAGATTTTGGCCTCCTTGCCCCATGGTCCCCCGGTTTCGACCGCAAAAGGGACAAAAAGGTACTGCCGTTTGAGCTCTGCGTATTTTAGGTGTTTCTGTCCAGCTGCGGTTTCAGCGGCGGATCCCGCCTCACGCATTGTCTTCGCCAAGTGTGATGCCGCAAACGTACTTACGCAAGTGGCGTCCCAGAGCAGGCTTCGCCCCTTGTCCCAGGGGACGAGAGTTAGGCCGTCGGGGCGTTTCCCGTCCGTCCGGCAGAGGCCTGGAGGCTCTAGGGCGCAGGGTACGTTCGCGGACACCAGAGCTCGGCGAATTATCTCGTTCAATGCGTGGTGTCTCGGGAATCTACCGGCACATTTCACGCAGCTGAGACCGTGGTGGCCTGCAGAGTCAACCGAAGCACCACAACGGCAGCTGTGTGCTTCGCAGACTCTGCAGCCCAGACGCAGAGCAGCAGCAATCCGTAATGAGTCATTGTCCAGGAGCGTACCGAGCTGGGGAGATGGAAGAGCCTGGAGCCAGGCTCCAGACTCGGGGCAGGAGGCGGCCTTTAAGCGTGCTACGTCAACACCTGATGCTGCCTCCATCAGACTGGCGAAGGCGGCTTTACAAACCGGCTCGTCCCAAAGGCGCTGCACGGTTGGGTTGTCAGGGTGGGCGGTGTTAGGGCATCTCTGTGTCCAAGCCGTCAGAGCCTCGCCTGTGAAAGTGATTAAGCTGCCACCTTGGTTATTCAAGATACTAGTGACAAGTTTAATCACTCCGTAGGACGATGCCAAGAAGGCTGGGACGCCCACATCAGCCATTCTCCTGATACCCAGACCGCCGTGGCGCACGGGCAGAGAGGCCTGTAGCCACTGTCCCTCGCTGAGGTCTACATTGAGAACGTCGCTTAAAATGAGTTTGAGGCTGTCGTCTAACATTTTGACCTCGTTGGGAAACAACCAGGTAGGGGACGTTCTCATTGTATACACCAGCTTAGGCAAGGACAGGCAGCTCCTGAATAGAGTAAGTGCTGCGTGAGCCGGCAGTTGTCGCAGGTGTTGACTAGCCTGTAAGAGGAGCTCACGCATGGCCTGTAGTGCTTCAGCGACAGCATCTTCAAAAATCGGAGATCCCAAAAGGTATAATTTTGTTTTGTCTATAATTTTTATTCCAGGAATTAAATCTTCTAGCTCTTTTGTATGGTTTGAAACTGAAGCGCTACAGGGAAAGAGCTCGCACTTCGCTCTGTTCACTACTAAGCCCACTTCTTTCAGCTTGGGAAACAGTTCCGCGATGCTTTTGGCAACGACATCTGGAGGGCCGCCTATGGTGCCATCATCGAGGTACCATAGGTTAAGAGGGGTTCCAATCGCCTTTATTAGTTTATGGATAGCCAGGCTGAAAATAAGTGGCCCTAAGGGGTCCCCCTGCTGGGCTCCCACCTGCGATGCCATTAAATTTTCCCTATAGTAAAGGTTGCTAGGGCGGCGTAACACTGCCAGAGGAAAGGGTATAATAAAGGGATATTATCCCTAGCCTCCGACAGCATCACGTCCCTCTCAACCGAGTTAAAGGCGTTTTTTAAGTCGACCTTAACAATAACGTCGCCTGCGTGTGCGGCGTCCTTGACGAAAAGGCGGGTGGCGTGGATAGCAGCTTCACAGCCCAGAGGGGTACCGAAACCGAGTTGGTGAGGCTGTAGGGCATCAGCCATATCATTTTTGACAGCCCGGCATCCCAATTTGGCCACTAGGCGGCGTATGGAACTACCCACGGCGATGGGTCTGATTCCCCGTCTTTTTATTCAGAGCGCACAGAGACGCACCGTACAAGAAGGAGATACCTCTTCGTTTAGTTTACCCTCCAGTAGGAAGTTGCACAGTCGTGTTAGAGAATCGAGCATTCGTGGTCCGTTGTCCCCGGCCGAAGACGAAGTGAGCTCTTGGAGGTGCCGGGGGCGTAGGCCGTCAAGGCCAGCTGCGGAGCTGGAGTGAAAAGAGCTTAAGGCAGAGTACACGTCATCAGGAGACACAGTGAGGTGAGGCGAAGTTGGGTCGGGCTTGTCGGGGATCACAACTGGTCTGGAAGGAGGTGGGTGTTTATCTTGAAGTCCATGGAGAGTGTTGGAATCTGCTGGAGCTACCCCGCAGTCAGACGTGAGGATCCTGACTGCCCCTCTTAAATCTCCGTCGTATATCTTTCTTTCTATACTCTTGTACACTGAAATGGGCTTCAAAGGAGCTGAGTCTATGGGGAGTCCGAGCAGGGAGGCACTTTCAACGTTGCGCTTTACTTTGGTGGTTAGATTGCCCCTTTGATTGTGGTCTGGGACTCTGAGGGCCGTGTATGCAAAAGAAAGTAAACTATGCCAGTCTGCGACTTCGTTTGTGCATATGCATTTCTCAATTATAGTGCACATACCTATACCACGTCGTGTGGTAGTCGTTTTTGTTTGACCTCGGCAGAAATCTGTCAAAATGTGTACTCTGTTTGTCCTAGAAACACACACTTCGATGAATTTAAATTAAAAAAAGGTGCTGTGATTGGTTGGTTGTCAGTGTGCGGGCTGTGTAAAAATTTTTAAAAATATTCCATGCTAAAAATTCCTAAAAACTTGGTCAAACTGTAACCATTTTCGGTTATTACTTACGGTAAACTTTTATTATTTCAGTTCATTTAAACTTTAGAATAAAAGTTAACCACAATGACCACAATAACCAAAAAATTAAATGGTTACAGTTTGACCAAATTTCTAAGATTTTGAATGACCAAAATATTGAAACTGCAAGATATAATTCGTTTGAAATTTTTCATAATGGTTAAAATCAATCCTGTCTCCCATTCCGGCTTGAATTTGATTTCTGAATCACCCTGTATAGATATTAGGCATCGCTCGGTATTTTTGCATCCCTGCACACACTTCATGTTCTACCCATTGTTTGATATTGTGTAAACCTGGTCAAAAAAACTATTTCCTAAAGCAAATTCAACACCCTATATTTCAACGACAGCAAACGCGCCAAATAAAAGCGACATAAAGGATTTGTGTCGCTTATTGCGTCGTTTGTCGTATGCAAAACCGGTTTTACGGTTATCCGGGATACCGGTTATTGGCTGTACCGGACCGGGGGCGTGCTTATTGATTTGTATAGATGTGACGTTAGTAGCTGATGTGTCACACTGATAGATAAAATAAAGAGTTATTTTCTGACTTCTGTCTGACAAATATTGACAATACATTACCGTCAAGGCCGCCGTACACCACTGGTCGTTGTTT